TAGAAATTGAGTTAATGGTTTGAGGGACATGTAGATGCTTTCAGGGGCATATAGATGGAGAGAGAGAGAGAGAGTGTGAGAGAAATTGAGAGAAAGAGAAATGGAAGAGAGAGTTAAACCTTTCAGGTATGTGATATTAATATATGTTACTTCATCTTTTTTGTGTTCATATTTTTTTATACACGAAACATGTTTTACTTTAAATGTAGTTGTCTAAATTCTGTGATATATACAAACTAGGACAAGAGAAGAAGGGAGATAGTGAGAGAGAAATATTGAAAGAGGGAGATGGAGAGAGAAAGAATGATAGGGAGGGACGCATGGAGGGGCATAGAGAGAGAAAGTTGAAGTTTTAAGATACATGCATTTGATTAATATAAACAATGAAGGAAAACAAGAAGAATATGTAGTCGGAGAAAACAAAGAAGACGAAGGCGATGATGAAGAAGAAGAAGTAGAAGAGGAAGAAGATAAGGAAAATATGTGGAAAACACGAAGAGGAAGAAGAAGACATAACAAAAAAAATCCCAAAGAATAAGAAGTAAGAAAAGATATATAGAATGAAGAAGAGGAGGAAGAAGAAATAAAAGAAAATATAAGAAAATTAAGAATTAGACGTGAGGGAATAAGGAGAGATAAAGGTGGAATACGATAAAGAAAAATAAGAAAAAGATGATACATAACAAAAACCAACATATAAATAAGAGGGAAAAATAAGAAGATGAAAAACGATTATGTGGAGACGAAGAATTCGTTTTTGTCTTAGTTCAATTGGTTAGTGAGTTTCATACACTTATTTAGTAGCATTTTGGTTTTTAATTTTGAATGGTGTTTACTTTTAGGTTTGTTTTATTTTATTATCTATGTTTTAAATGATTGTTTTAATTCTCTTCAATCGTCAGTTTATAACATTAAGTTTTGTTGTACGTTTGTGAAACCCCTATGCCCGTGCAAGGGGTTTAGGGTTTAGGGAAATATTGATGAAAAAGTCTACACTCAGGAATATCTTAATAATATTAAGATCTCTGGATTGCTGAACCATGAACTGAAATTAAAAATAAGAACACCTATTATGTTTCTTCAGAATATTGACCCTTGGTTTATGCAATAGAACAAGACTATTGGTAACACAATTGGTCAAACATGTTATTCAAGCTAGCCACATAACTGGTGAGTATATTGGTCAAAAGGTCTTGATCCCATGAATGTTTGTTTCCCTTCACTGAGACAAGGTTCCCTTTTAGAATGAGGCATAGACAATTCTCTGTAGCCATCGCCTTTGCAATGACTATCCATAAAAGCCAAGGACAGACTTTGCAAAATATTGGACTGTATTTACCAAAACCCGTATTTTTTTATGGACAACTTTATGACTTGGCGATGCA